AGCCAGCCTTTCGACATAAGCTACTTTTCCATACGAACACAGATATATTGCCTTTATTGATGTCGATATTTCGCTTTCAATCTGAAGGCATCTTCAGGAGTTATTGGGTTTTTCTAGTTGACTCAATTTTATTATCCACTAGCGAATACTCGGCGTATTTTTTAAATTTTAAACGGGTGGCAACCCTCTTCAAAAATATTTTCGGCAGTAAACTTTCCTAAACCTCTTCAGTTTGATACCTATATTGCAATATTCATTTTATCTTATCAATTAAATAAAATTAAAATTTTCAAACAGGTGGCAACTCTCAACAAGCCTTTAACAATCTTTCTGTTGATAGACATATGGCAATTTATACTTTTTCTTATCAATTTAATTAAACTGCAATTTTTAACACAGGTGGCAACTCTCTAATTTTTTTCTTCCTATACTTTAAGTTAGACTTCTAGCAATACATCGGTGAATACTGCATTCAATAATATTTGACTAACAACTGTTAAATACTATAAATTTTGGTTATTATACATTTTTTTTGTTTTAAATTCTAATATTGAATTTTGGCCGTTTTTGAAGTCTTTCTAGCCTTCTGTGCAATGTAATATTCGTATCACACAAACATTTACATACATACAATTCGCTGTATATACGAATGTATGCATGTTTAGGTGTAAGTATTTCTGCTTTAATGGAAACTGAATTTGGTAGCAGGGCTTAGCGTAAAGCATAGTTTGGTGTTTACACAGATTTGCACCAATAATTAAGGCCAATTTGTGAACAACTAACGTGTGCATGTTCAAAGAAGCAAATGACTACAACAAATTGCACAGCCATTTATGCATACATATGTACGTATATATGGTAGATATGGGCATTGTAAAAGCAATAAATTGAAATTGATAAAAAGTGTTGCAGTTAGTTAAGGCCACTGCCGGCAACATATTTTAAAATACATATGTGAAAGTGTATGTATGTACAAATGTATGGTGGCGGGCAAATAAATGTGGCGCGAGTCAGGTTTTGGCTCTCTTTCATTTGTTCATTTAATGTTTATTAATTCTTAGGTATTATGTGAATTCGAATTTCAAACCTTGGAATCGGAATTTTCAGACCATTTTAGTATATGTAATAAATGGCATGTTTGGAATAGCTAGGACTTACCGCTGATTTTTCGCAATCATAAAATAATGATTAAATGTTTATTTAAATTATTTGTCTACTTTATTTTCTTTACTTAGCAACTTTCCTAAAAATTTTAATTCAAAAGTTTGAAATTCGGACTTACATGGCTTTTGTTAGATATTGAGCTATAGTGTCATCAAAATAATAAACGGTAAATAAACAAAAGAAGAAAAGCAAAAACTTGTTAAAATATCGCGACCTTATTTATTTTCCAGCAACCGTACATTTGTATATACACATAGGTCAGTAGTCATACAAACATAAACATTTTTAGTCTTCGTCTTAATATTAGCCTACGCATTCAACCTTATCTTCGTACTCGCTTTCGTTCTTGTCTTCGAATTAGTATTCGTCTTCGTAATGATTTTTAAATAGTTTACGTACAGTGGAAAACTACGTGCCACTACTTGGTCAAGACGAGGTGAGAACAGTTATAATGCGATTTAATGAGCCTCTGATTGATGGCTCAGTGTATTGAGCTCAATCCTCAAGATGGGAGATTCTATTGTTTTTTGGCAATTATTCCAGGATAAGCCGTGTCAGCATTGCATATGTATATGGTCATACCGCATACGAAACCAAATATGGTGTCACTAATTCGGCAATTTATTTGGCACCTAACGAGTATTATAAAAATGTATCAAACTAATCAAATGCATTGAGTAGTTACCTACGAATAACGGAACTTCATTGTTTTTCCTATGGTTAGATGACATTTGAATATAACCTCACTTTTGTGTACATGGTAGAAAAAGGCTCATTCGTGTGCGCGAAACTGAACTGCAAAAAAAGAAAAACGAAAGTTGTTCTCGTAAAATAAAACTTTTTTTTATTACCTCACAGATCCTCTTCTGTGTCAATCAATGATTAAGTTTACCGCTACTCAGCTGTTTTCTATTGTTTTCATACAATATTCCATATATTACTTTACGAAATTAAATTTTAAATAAATGATTTGGAGTTGGTTTTTTTCGGAATAGGTTTATTGATACGTATAATAACGTATAACGAGTAGCCACAGTTAAAATGTTTGTATATATCTGCTTCATAATTCATTTAGTAAAGGGTTAAGAACTGAATCGCAAAATAATATTTAAAGCTCCTTTTGGGGAGTTTAACGAACAGCTTCGCGGCCAATACCAGTCTCACGGAAAATTTTTTCATGGAAATCATTGAATTTCGCTGAACACGGGTTTTTGTTTATATGCCGGGATCCTTAGTGTGTTGACAGTTGGTAAAGTATTCCCTAAATTTTGTTGATCTAGCTAAATTAAGTATTACTCAAGCTATTAATTACTTCCTCATCCTCGTACAAAATGTCCTCGTGTGCGGCGGTATTACCTTTTGCAACAGAGAACGCACATCTGTGTTCCAACATACTTATGTCCTTCCTTACACGAACTCTTATGGGCTTACTCGACGTAATACTAGAGGTGTACTCACCTGACCATTGTGATAGTTGCAAGAACATAAAAGAAGAACATGACTATGCTTAGCTTATGTGTGGGGAAGGTGCTGCTCTTCAGTCGTCTCAACCTAACTTCAGACTTTTTACTTTACTTTTTTTTTGTTTTTCAAAATTGATGTTTTCATTAGCCGAAGCAAAAATATGTACGAGTGTCGCAAAAATCTATTAGGGTACAGAAAGTTTAGATACCAGAAATTGCATTGTTGAGAACTTGAGCAACAACAAAACATCTTTGCAAAAGTAACCGTCAAATATGTACATATATATTTGCCATTTAATAGTTGTCAAGGGAGATAAGTATGTTTAATGAGGCCAAATACACCAACCTACTAAATGGAGCCAAACACACTTTCCTACAAGTATACATACAAACATACATATGTAGGTAAAAGTGTATTTAGTTAGAAGCTCCCTCGACACTTGTGCTCCCATTTCAGCCCCAAACGCATTCACTTAAAATAATTGGAGAGAATTGCTGCTGATACAATCAACTAACTATTAGACAACAAATTTATCTGTGCCGTTACATTTTGTTTGGCGCATGTTATCGATACCATCTACACGCATACGCATATACATATGTACATATAAACATATCTACTGCCTTTACCTATGATGCGTCGCCATACATACAACCAGACAGATACAACAGATAGGCCAGGCAAGTGTTTATGCGAAAATTCGTTACTTTAGTAAATTTCGTAAATGTCGGAAATGGGCAACAGGCTCGCATTCTGTATTCTGGTTGAACATTGTTTTGTTCTTCGCAGCCAACTGGTTAAATTGTCTACATGCAATTTAATTATTCCCACAGCAGAGGAGCAGCCGCAGCAGCAGCATTGGCCATAAATTGAATTTTACGCTATAAGCGATTTTCAGCTGCAATGCAGTGCCTAAAACAAAAATGGAAATGGGAATAGCCAAAAATAGCGGTTGGGGAAATATTGGAGATTTTTGCAGGATTTGCCAACTAAATGCTTTCCAAATAGCGCACACCATTTACTTTGGCAAAGTTGAGGCTTACAAAGTTAGTTGAGTTGTGGTTGTCCTGAAAATGCTGATTCAATTAAACATGAAAATGTTCTAAGCTGTGGTTATGTAACAATTAGCTATCTATTGTTGGAAGTTAAAACAAAAACTCTTCAAATGTATTAGCTTTTAAGCAAATAATGGTGAAACAAACCAATTGCTGACAACACCAATGGCCAGGAGTTCCATTGGAAGGGGAGAACGTCTTGTGATGCTCTCTAGAGCAGTCATTCACGATTCGGTAGCTGAATTTCTGATTTGAAGGAGCATTTTA